CCATAGTTTTATAATTGTAATATTGTGTATGTACATGCATACTTCATTATGTTACACTTCTATTCTATTTCCTTAATGGGCCAGTGTCAGTTACGATTAATGTTGTCAGTTAATATTGTTCAATAACGTCAACGTTTCGGTAGCAGCAAGGTATTTATTTTTAGATGCGTCTCTTCGATGGAATGCTGTTGTGGAAATGGAAATTTACCTGGGGTAAAAAACAACAATCATGGACAAACAACGAACTAAAGCATTATATTATTAGCGCGTATAAAAATCACACAAAATGTTAATAAAAGGAGAGTACACATAAAGAAGGAGGGATTTAAGGTTAATAGGACGAGGAATGGAAGAAGGAAGGAAGTCAATTTAGGACATTTAAAAATGTGATCAAGGGTACCCTTGTCCAGACGACATTCACACAAATTGTCTCTGACACGGATTTTATTGAGGAACACAGGGGAACAAGTGTGGCCCAGTCTCAATCTACAGATCGTTGAAGTGGCTGCCTTACTAGTTTCGCAAAACTTAGTACAACATAGTACGCGTCTTTCTCTTGGCGTATTGGTCCACTGTTTCGTTCCCTCGGATACCAGTGTAACCGGGTATCCAAGCCAACGAGACCTCGACCTGCTTAGCAGCAAGACAGTGCAGGATCTGTTTAATTTTTAGGATGACTGGAGATTTAATTTTGCTACGAAGTTGGTTAGATAAAATAGCTTGAAGAGAACTTTTTGAATCCGAAAAAATTACACATTAATTAAGATTATGAGAATCAATAAAATTCAATGCTTCCAAGATAGCCGACGCTTCCCCCGTGAAGACAAAAGAGAATGGGGGTAATTTATTACTGAGAATTATTTTAAACTTAGGGATCCACACGGCTGCTCCTACGCAGCCCCGGTTAGAAAGCTGGGAGACATCTGTATAAATAACAGTCCAGTTAGGCCAGAATTTGTTAATAACCCGGCTTAAGTCTAAATCAGCCGAGGTAGATTCTTTATCTATATCTATATAGGTCAAGTATATTGTTAGGGCGAAACATAATGGCATTAAAAGGGGTTCCAAAAATCGGATTTCATTTGCATTGATAAATAGGATAAGAAAGACGGGAAAATTTGAGATAACTTTTAACCAAACAAGGGGCGTCCTTGTGATCCAATATGAAGAGGCAGACCCTAATTCAGAGAGGTTTTGTAATTTAGAAAGAAGAGGATGGGAAGCAAGCTGCATGATCTTGAAGAGAAATCTATCCGAGAGGTATTGTCTTCTTATTGAAAGAGGACTATGATAATATGAAGACTTTTGGACTGGATTTTGTCACAATTATTTAAACTACTTTTGTTACAAGGTTTTAAAAGGAAAGAGCCATAGTCAAGGTAGCTACAAATCAGGGCGTTGTAGATAAGTTTTTGCGAGTATGGGTGTGAACCCCACCATACTCCAGAGAGGGAACGGATAATGTTAATGTTATTTTCACATTTGTGGACTGCGTGATTGATGTGGTGGACGCCTGACAATTTGGGGTCTAAGGTAACCCCAAGAAACTTAACCTTGTCTAGTACAGGAATAGAAAGATCATCACAGCAGATAGAGACATCAGGGATACACTTTTTATTGGAGAATATCACCACAGTGCTTTTGGGAATGGAGAGGGAAAGGCCATGATCTGTCAACCATACATTTAAATTGTGGAAAGCCGAGGAGAGAGCGAGCTGTTGTAAACAGAGGCCGTCAGCATATTGGAGGACATTACAGAAAGAATTTACCGATAATTCGAAGTCATGGGTGTAAAGACTATAAAGAAGAGGGCTAAGGACATAGCCCTGCGGGAGACCTTTCCAAACTAATCTGGCGGAGAGAGAAACATTATTAGTGCAAATAAAAACAGATCTGGAGAAGTTGACTAGCTTCGCCGGGATACTCAGATTATGCAGTTTTTGCTTGAGTATGCGAAGGAGTACGTTGTCGTACGCTGAAGAGATGTCCAAAAAGACGTCGATTCGTAAAAATCGCAAGACTATCCATCGTACTAAGACCTTTACGGAATCCAAATTGGCGTTTAGCTAAAAGGTCCTTGGTTTCCACTATCCATTTCAGTCTATTCTTTATAAGGTGTTCTAGAACTGGCTGACGACAAGGCGATAGGTCGGTATCCGGATGGGCCTTTAAATAACTTTCCAGGCTTAAGAATGAGAACAACAATTTCAGTTTTCCAGTCTTCAGAGGGAGTGCCAGAGAGGAAGATATTGCTGACGATATTAAAAAAATAAAGTTTGGAAGAAGACTAGTGTTAACAATAAGAGAATACGGGATTCCAACAACACCAGGAGACGAATCCTTAAGATAACCAATAACAGAAAAAAGCTCCTCCATAGAGAAAGCCTTTGGTCCACCATCGTAAAGGAGCTTCAAAATTATTGACAGACTTTTGTGGAGAGGGGACCCAAACTGGAGAGATTTCTTCAACAAATGGGATATAAGGAGGTGCTAATTTAAAAGCGAATGATTTAACCCATTCTGAGGGGTCATTGGACAATAATCTAGCTGCTGGAGAAAAAGCACCACGAAACCGCTTTATACCCTTCCAAACTAAAGACGGGGGAGAATTACGGGAGAGGCTCTCGAAAAACTTTTGCCAACCTAATTTTTTCTTACTTAGCAAAAATTTTGTAGTTTCCTCTGCTACTTTTTGGTAATTAGTGTAGTTTTCCCTAGTTAGACAAGACGAAAGTAGGGATTCAGACTCTACGTTTGTTGACAGCATCCAAGCATTCAGACTCCCACCAAGGAGAGAACGGGATCTTTTTGGAGGATTTCTTTTTTATAGGGATGGACCTATTAGCCCTTAGAGGATGGAAAAAAAATAAAAGAAAGGAGCTGCCCTAACTACAGAATCAACGTGCATATAACTAAAGTTATAATTTTGTAAAGTTGTCATTTGTACCATAGTGTATCGATAAGTCATTATCGACATGCAAATGTATGGCTTGAATGTTGAAACTGTTTTTTTTTGTTTCTTTACTTTACTGTAACCAAAGTATGTCTAAACAAACAGAAGTCTAATAATTTAATCTCGAGTAGTATAATTATTATAAATGTCAACACAATTTTTAAACTTTTTTTAAATTTATTTTCAAGATTACTACTGGTAAACTTATTTAGTAAAAGTCACCAAACTGCTGTGCAGTTTTTTGGCGACATGCGCATTCTTACTTAATTATACCTACTTTACTGGTATATAACATTATGTAGTATTTACTTTTTACTATTTACTGGTATATAATTGTACTTACTAAATAAAATATAAAAAATACTTTAACAGGTACGCCTTTAACCTACATTTTAGTACATATTTACATAACGTCTTTTAACTAACTGTGGAGTACAAGTCTATTCAGGTTTCTAGTATTCACGTTAATTCCCGGGCTTTCTTAAGCAAATGAATCTATCAAGCAATTTTAACACAGAAATAATGGAAGTAGTTGTAAAAATCAATTAAAACGATACAAGCCTCGTAGTGAACAGAATATCGATATTATGTAGGCTTGACATTATATCATAGATGACATTATATTATCGTACATTTTTGACTAAAAACATGACGAAGCGGCTGTACCACGAAACTGAATGCGTTACACGAAAGTATCACTCGTTCAATATTCATGGCCTACTAAAGAAGAATCACAAGTATACCGCACCAAATAAAACTCGAATTTGTATTACGAATCACGGCATACACTCGTTTGCATATTTAGTTTCTCGAAATTCATTCAAAATGAAAATAATTGATTTTAAAATAAATTATATTTATTCTGATTACAAAATTACATAACTGTGGAAGGAAACGTCCCTATTTATTTATCTTCTCACCGCTGTGACGTTTTTGTAATTTCTTATGGCACAATTAGGTATTTTACGCGTTTTCAATTAATGTATAACGGCCCAGCGCGTTCTGAAGCGTAACAGCGGCAACTAAGCGTTTATTTGGGCACGTGAAGTACCTACCCTTGCAGCGTCTGTTTAAATATATGTCTGCGGTTTTATTGATTTATATCACACAAAGCAATAAATATATTATTATTAAAAAAATTGAAAAACATTAAATAATATTTAAAATATTTATTACAATCAAAGCAAAATTTCGAGATGGCAGAGGATTTTCTTACCAGAACTTCAAAGAAAAGGCTCAGTCTGTAATATTCTCAGATAACAGGTTATGTGTATGGTAATTTATAAAACTTTAAAATATTCTTTAATGAAGCATTCCTTTTTTTTAATCGCCGAATTTTTTGTCGTAATGTTTTTATCTTTCGGCTAGTAGCAGATCTTAACAACTTGTGTTTTCTTAAATCTTTTTTTAATTTACTCGTACTGGGTGAATCGTATACAGAATCTAAGTCCGAATCTCTAATTTCAGGTTCTGGAGTTCGGACTTCGGTTTTCACGGGTAGCTGATTAACTATGAGTAAGTTTGAAGGACCCGCTTGGTCTTCTAAAGCAATTGGACACATTAAACTTTCAGCATCATTTGATATTTGAGTTGATGGTGGTAACGCGGATAAATTCTGAGTCGGTTTTGATGTTTTTTTGATCAACCGACGACCGTTTTCGGAAAAGTACACGTCATCCTCTTTAAAATGCAATGAGCATACAACACAAAATTGTGATGGCAGCCAATCATTATCTCGCCTGCTTTGGCGAATAATAGAAACCCATTCGTTGCGTAGAGCATGATCTATTGGCAATCTGTAAAAAATATAATTTAAATAATTTTAGAGAGTAGATATTTGTGTATTTATAAAAAAAAGTGATATGAAAATAATTCAAATACCACTATTCTATAAACTGTGATAAATAGATTACTAAAACCAAACAAATAAGTTCAGGTTACAGATTGATACCATTACTAACCTGATGCGAAAAAAAATAACTTACAATTTAAATAACCGTACCTACAATATATTGCTTTTTGTTATCGTATAGGCATGCATTACATCCATATAAATTAATCGATGTTCCTATGACTAAAGATGGGAAAAACTGCTTATTTTTTTAAACGTATAAACGCTTAGATCGTATAAACGTTATGCTTTTTTAAAAAAAGCGTGCTTCTTTAAACGCTTTTTAGTTAGAAGCTAACAAAATCGTAAAACGTTTAAGCGCATCGACTTTTATGTTAAAAAAGCTTGCAACGTTGTGTTGATAGCGAAGCGCAAGAGTAGACCACTAAAGGTTTTAAGATAAGAAAGATTTTTTTGTAAAAAACGATTTATGTTTTTATTATGACATAACATTATTATATTAACATTTTGTTCATTGGCGTTTAAAAGCGTTCAAAAACATGACTTGTTTAGCTTTTGTAGTTGTTAATCGTTGAAATGGAAAAAACTGCATATTTTTTTAACGTTAAAACGTACGTTTAAAAAGCATGCTTGTAAAAGCGCTTTTCACTTAGAACGCTTTTTACTTTGACGCTTAAAAAGTCGTTTAGAAAAACGTTTAAGCGCAAAGATTTTATGTTTAAAAACAACGCTTACGCTTAAAATGAAAAGCGTGCTTATGCGCTTTTTTAAAAAGCAGACTTTTTAAGTGCTTTTCGTTTAAACGCCCACCTCAACCTACAACTTAAGCATATTTACCTAATTTAAGGAAATTAATTTCGATATAAACTGGCAACTCAAAGCGATGTCAATGTCGCTCGTCGAGGTTTTGTGTTCCGAGTGAATCTGTCGGGTAAAAATATAACAAAGCAGTCAAATAATCAATAATTACCTGTGAAAAGATATTCCATCTTCTTTTTTTTGTGTTTGGGAACAACTTTTACAACATTTAAAGATACAAGACGGCATTTTAAAATATACAATAATTAACCACTCGTAACGTCACGTACAGTACGACGTTTTGCTTAATACTGACGCGAGTTTGTATTCACTTTTGAATTGTATTCACTTTGATGGCCTCATTCGCGTGTTCGGTGCGTTCTGTCTGCCTACAGTTTTGTAATCCGAACTTTTAGGTATCTGAACCTTAAATGATGGAAAAAAAAGGAAATCGGACACAAATTCACGCTTTAACTAGTAGTACTTTAAACGTAGACGACCTTAAAGGATGGAAAAAATCCAATAGTCTAAAAGGGTCGTATTCCAGAACGCGACTCAAATATTGCCGTGATTATCAATCAATGAAGCATTGCTTGAGCATTGATTCAAGTCTTAAGCATTTCGTTTATTCTTGAATAGTACTCAGTGCTGTACTCAGCTGAACTACACTCAAGTTTGAGTTGGGATTATTCATAGTTCTATGCGATTTTCTTTCATTCATTCGTATTTGTCTATTAATACTTGATTGTATCGCTTCAGCAGCATGATTCAGAACTCTTCGATATTTTAATCGAATCGTACGATTGGATATCGTTCTCGAATCGAAGGTTTCAATCTTTGCCTTTCATTATAGGAAGAATTTGAACATTGTCAAAATCAAATAATAAAATTAAATTGACTATTGGAAATGAAAATTATTTATTACGCTCTGGATGCATAGGTACATAATTAAACCAGTTTGGTTGTGTAAATAGTTTTTGAAACTATATATTTAGCGGATTTCATTTAGAATGAAGATAAAACAAAAACAATTTAATAACAAACCGTGTATTACTCTAAACTTATTAGGACGCGAGGTACTACGGCCTTTCGCCGTAGCCTAATCTTTTTGGACGAAATTAAAAACACTAATGGAATATTAATGACATTTTAATGTCAATGAACTGTCACAGTCATCCGACACCGAAATTTTATTTCGTTTCGTAAAATTTGTATTCTACATTTTTCAAAACATCGAAATAAATAATTGGAAATTTAAAATAACGAGGCTCATATTTTCAGTGAATTATTTTGCTGTATTAGCGTCACCACAGTGCAATTTATCTTAGGTTAGTTTTCTTTACATTTATATATTTCCAGTAGAAAGTTCTATGGATATAAGCCACTAGCTTTGAAAATAAGTTAAAAATGGCATTAAACTTAGTTCGCCACATAGTAAACACTGCTCGTACCGTCACAGTAGCAAATACATGTGTCTTAAAATCAGCTCAAAGATCACTGACCACAACACTGCCAACTCAATTAGGAATGATACCTATAGTTGTCGAACAAACAGGTCGAGGTGAGCGCGCGTACGATATTTACTCGAGACTTCTTCGCGAACGAATTATCTGCCTAATGGGACCGATAACTGACGAAATCAGCTCCCTTGTTGTTGCTCAACTTTTGTTTCTTCAATCTGAGTCTAGCAAGAAACCTGTACATCTTTACATCAACTCTCCCGGTGGAAATGTTACGGCTGGGCTCGGTATCTACGACACAATGCAATATATAACTCCTCCAGTAGCTACGTGGTGCGTAGGACAAGCATGTAGTATGGCATCATTACTTTTAGCTGCAGGTGCTCCAGGCATGAGACATGCGCTTCCAAACTCTCGAATCATGATTCATCAGCCATCTGGAGGTGTGAGAGGCCAAGCAACTGACATACAGATTCAGGCTGAAGAGATTCTAAAACTGAAGGCTCAAATAAATGCTCTGTATGTAAGACATACTGGCCTGCCTGTTGAGAAAGTGCAGTCTTCTATGGAACGAGACTATTTCATGTCACCAGTTGAAGCGAAGACATTTGGGTTGATAGACAATGTATTGGAACATCCACCATCTCATGCTTTAGAGAATCCGGCTGCAAGTGCGGCAGTCTCATCATAGACATGATGTTGATGATTCTGATAGTGTATAAGTATTGTTTTCATTTTGATTAAATAAAAGATAAATTTTATTTTTAAAATAGTTTTTGGTGTTTTATTATAATATATGTAATATAATGAACTCTCCACTTAGCTACCACTAACTGGACAGTTCAGTAATTGAGGTAAAATATCTATCTCGCTGACGAACTTAATAGCACAGGATTCTATATCATTCAAAAGGAGTTTGAAACATTTCTTGTTAGATGAATCATTTTATTGCATTGATGAATTTGTTGTTGGAGGCTTTTGAATTTAATTTAATTTCATTTATATTGAAATGTGATAAGGGTATCTAATTTGACATTGTTATTATTATTGTATTATTATTATCATTATTTTGCCTTAACAACTTGTTAATATATTAAATTATGTTCGGTCTCTTATTATTATTTTATATTTGATATAAGTTTTTCATCGTAATTGTATTTTTTTCCAACACAATTTATTTTGTTAAGGAAATAAATGAATAATGATGTGATTGTGTGTTGACTCACTACAATCACAGTAAGGCTCCTTTTATCCATTGGTATAGGTGTGTTGAATATGTTTAGACTTGTGTAATATATGTGGAATTAATGATGCCATCATCTTAAATTCTGAAGGAGCCTATTTCAATTTGTGCTAATGATATCGCACTCATAACAGTGCACGAGTAGCTTCTGTGTAAAACAAAACTATCATGTATTGCCGCTTCGAGATATTTCCTAACTTTTTCAGGGTAGCATGTTTTAGGTTTTAACGATTGTTTTATAATATTTACGTCCTATTTTAAAATTCATATTCGGTTTTAATTAAGTCTAAGTTTTGAAATTGAGTTTTCTATAATTTTTTTTAAACCTGAATTTTAGAGTATATTTTTATAAATTGGGTTTTGAATTTAGTATTTCACGTGGTCAGGTTTCACTGTGTGTTCAATATAAGGCTTATTTTTAAAATACTAACAACCTCCCAGGGCTATAGAACAACACTCTAAATAACGATTTTTGTTCCATGATTGAGTGACGGTGATTAAAACCGTTATTATTTATATTTTTTCTTATGAATCTGAATCACTGATCGAATATATCCATCAGAAGAAAAAAATATTCTCGTTTATACACGTATTACGTAAATTATTTATTTTTTGTGATATCAAGTGACGGTACGTACAAGTCGAGCGCCTGATGGTAAGCGACACGCCTGTCCATAACAGTTGTAATGCCACTCAGAGCTTTAAATCTCTAAGATCGTTCTGAGACATACGTCGACAAATCCCATGTGTATGTAACTTCACCTGCACCCTTATTCTTGAAAACCGGAACAGTCATGCTCACATTACTGTTTAGCGGCAGAAATAGGTGATTGCTACCACTTCCCTGGGCGAACACTATCATAAGAAGCTCTACTGCTACAAAAATTACCGTACGCGCCAAAATGCGCTAATCGTGAATATATCGAAGGTGGTGAGAGCCTTTACGAAGCTTAGAGATTGCGAGATAATGAACACTCGTTGTCTACCCTGTAACAATTAATATTAAAACTTGGCTAATAAAAGGGTTTATTGTACGTACATTTTTTTAAATACGCAATACAATAACAACTATTCGAAAGTAATAATTTGTTTTCATTGTTGACAAAAAGGCTTGTTTTATGTGAGGTTTTGGGTCTGTTGAAATTTGAAGAGAAATTGCAATTCACTGAATACAACATGAAGAAAATTTCTTAAGAAACTTAAATTCTGCGGTCGCGCGATGTCATGTGAATAAGGTGTTTTTGGGTAAACTTTAAAAGGTCTGTTTAGGAGCAATAGTCTTCGCTCGCCAGTGGTTTGGTCACTATTGCCCTCGTCGTCTTTTGTCCAAAACAAGGATTGGTGTCAGTCAGTCGGTCATCCATGGAGGCTGTAGAAGGTACATACATCACACATATTTGTTACATTAAAAAAATCAGAAGCCTTTTTCTTAAATGTAGTATAGAGGCTCCTTTCAAAAACTTAAAAAAAAATTAGGTACTTTAGTTATATTGACTCTGAAGGTCTGACTAATATTAAATCCGGGCGCCCGGACTTCAAATGTCCACTAAATTTTAACGAATTTTAAAAAATCTATGTATATATACTAACAGCTCGTACTCATTTACCATCGATTGGGGTCTCTACTTACCCCAATTTACACCCCAAATTACAGCCTTCCTTATTTATATGATTGACACCTTAACATTTCTTTCTCTATACTCGTCACTACATCCTCTTTCAAGCCACATCTTTCACATATTATTGTATTCTTCACTCTGTCACTCAATTTTATTCCACAAATTTTCCTCAACGATCTCATCTCCACTGCATTAATTCTACTTTCATGCTTCTTCTGCCATACCCACATCTCTTGACCAAACGTCACTGTGGAAACCAGCAAAGCATTGTGTATGGACATGTGTCCTTTTTTGGATAAGATGTTGCTCCCCATTAGACCATTTATGGCTCCATTTTTACTCCGTTTCCCTTTCGTATCCTTCATTCAATGTCCTCATCAAACTTTCCATCACTTATAAACACACTACCCAGATACAGAAACTTATTCACTGGAGTTGATCCAGTTTCATACCTTGTATTTTAGTCTTACATACCGTCACGTTCACATTTCTCATTTATTTAATCTACTTACAAAATTAGCAAAAATGATTACTTACCCGTTTTTATTGAGCATCTACATTGCATCGCCACATATACAAGGCCCAGTTTGAAAAAAAAAATAACTTACTGCCTTTGACTTACAAATAAATCGACGACTGGTCTAATACCAAAACCACGAAAAAAATGTCCCAAGTCAACCTATTTAAACGTAGTGACATGTCAAGGAATATGAAAAAGCTAAAACGTTGAATTATTTAAATTGTAATGTCATCGCAGTACTGTCTAATGTTGCTTGCTTCGCTGTCAGTCGAACAAACGAAGACTAGAGCGTGAATGACGCTCTGTATACGATTTTAACGCCCTATAAGTTCGGACGCTTTTTAGCGCGGACCCGACGTCCATATAATTGTAAGTCAATGCTTACTGCACTAAATTTAGCTTTCCTTTTTTAAAATTTTAGTTGTTATTTTAATCATATATATATATGACGACGCTGCGCGTTGGTATAGTGTAGTGGAGCGCATTATGGAGACTCATGTCAAGAGCCGTACAAAGAAGTTCCATGTGCCTGTAATGTCATCAGCACCCTTACTCTTCTAAACAGAAACGCAGTAATGCTCACATTACCTACTGCTTGGCGGCAGAAATAGGTAAGATGGCAGGCACTACTTCCCTGGACAAACTCTTTCACTAGGAGCTCCATTGCAACTACAAACCAAAGTCCACTAGGAACTCTACTGCTACTACAAAAAGTAATATAAGAATTTAATACTTTTATTAAGGTCCATTTAACACAATAATAATTGCAAAGAGCATAAGAGGCACGGTAGCGCCTTAAACGTAACCTGTGGCGTAGCCTGAATCTATGCCTGTGCTCTATTGCGTATGAAGTGTTAAGATAAATACAGAAAAAGGTAGAAATAACGAAAGTGTATAAGCGTACCGGCACGAAATCGCAGATAGAAAGCGCAGTTATCGTTCTTGTATCATTTTATGATCTGGTTAATTATCTCAGACTTTTTAAGTAGTTATATTAGATCATTGTTTCAGATTCAAATCGTCTCGCCTTTTCGCCTAAATGATTGAGTGAGACGGGAAACTGTTCGCGTCGTTTTTGTGACGTGTTTTTTCTCGAATTGTGAATAAAAAGTCTAAGATAAAAACCTACATTTCATATTGAATGTCTAATTTTAAACCGACGATGAAAAAAATAAACTAAGCTTTAAATTTATTTTTTTTTCCTTCCTCTAAGGCTTTAAACTTTTTTCCGTCCTCTAATCTTTACACTACCGTGTCCGTGCACCAACTGTCACTGTTTAAGTCATTCGATTCAAAATTGTCATCTCGTTTATTCACAATTTGGAAAAAAAGCAAAAAAAATTATTTTTAATTTCAAATATCGAGAATCAAGCTTAAAATGGCATTTCATTGCCTTTGCCAAATAGCGAGGACTGCTCGGACCATCTCAGTAAATCAATGCGTCTCAAAACCAGCGCCAAGAACACTATTCATAACATTTCCAGCTCAACTGGGAATGGTACCTATAGTCGTCGAACAAACTGGTCGTGGGGAGCGTTCGTATGACATTTATTCTAGACTCCTTCGTGAACGGATTATTTGCCTCATGGGATCGATCAATGACGAAATTAGTTCCCTCATTGTTGCTCAACTCTTATTTCTTCAATCTGAGTCTAGCAAGAAGCCTATACATCTTTACATCAATTCTCCCGGTGGAAATATAACAGCTGGACTTGGTATTTATGACACGATGCAGTACATAACTCCTCCAGTAGCTACGTGGTGTGTGGGACAAGCGTGTAGTATGGCGTCGTTACTTTTAGCTGCTGGCTCTCCAGGCATGAGACACGCGCTTCCAAACTCCCGAATCATGATTCACCAGCCTTCTGGAGGTGTTAGAGGCCAAGCAACAGATATACAGATTCAGGCTGAAGAGATCCTAAAACTAAAAGCTCAAATCAATGCTCTGTATGTGGAACACACATGCCTGCCCGCTGAGAAAGTGCTGGCTTCAATGGAGCGAGATTATTTCATGTCTCCTGCTGAAGCGAAGGCATTTGGTTTGATAGACAATGTGTTAAAGCATCCGCCATCTCATCCATTGGAGAATCCGCTTGGAAGTAGTTCGACTTTAAAATAGAATCTTGTTAGTTGTGATATTGGTAAGGAACAAATGTTTGACGTCAACCTTAAAAAAAGGCCCTACATCGTCCACTATTCATAGGGGGAAGCGGGGCTGATTCGAACACTTTTTTTTAACTTTATTTTTGGGCTGCTAAATGAAATTATAATGAATATTTTTTTCTACCTAATTGATGATATAACTAATAAACATTACCTAATTTAATCTTGTCTTTCATAAATAGCATTGAATAATTGAAAAAAATTGATTTTAACAAAAACATGGGAATTGTCCAATTCTGCCCCACCCACCTGTGGGGTACTTTGATACATCGCTTGGGGCACTTAGATGTGTGAATCAACGTAGTATGTCAATTGTTCATAAATTATGATGCTATTTGTGCCTCAGCACTTGCTAGATCGAGTGTTCTTTTTAGGGCACCATTTGAAAAGTGTTCTTTGTAATGCACTCTTGGAAGTAGAAATACAGAAGGAAGAGCTGACAATAGCGTAAAATGTCACTAGTTCACTTCTTTGCAATAACTTGTTAAAATATTTTTACATTTTTCGTACAAATTAAATAATAGGAACACTTTGATACGTACCAAACTGCTCCACTTACTAGGGTATAAAAGTACCCCACCGGTCAGTTTAGAAAAAAAAAAATTATTTAAAAAAATCTTTATATATTTTCTCAAAATTAGATGCAATTCTAGTTATTGAAAACACTAGTTTTTTTATTCTAATGTAAGTGTGCATTTGACCTCCATCTCACTAAGTGACGATGTTTACCCTGTATTAAGACATAAAACCCAGTAAAGTGAACAAAACTGCAGTGGCACTCGTATTTGTGTCGCTTATATTTTTTTTGTCAACGGCTGTGAAAACACTTAATGACCTGTCGAACGACAACGGCTAGCTGGTGAGCTGCATCATCGCACGTCTATTACTCACACGTAAAAAGGCACGTTTTAGTATTATCACAACTAATATTATGTTTGAAGGTATGGAGATAATGCAGATAGTGTATGAATGTACCCTGTATGAGACTGCCCCGCTTTCCCCTATATATTATAGTTTCCCAAAGTTGTCCCTACCGCCTCCCAGTACGTGCTTCGGTGGTAGGGGCCTCGGAAGCAATGGGGGGAAGATGATGCTGCCCAGAGGGTGCGACCGCATTTGAAAAAAAACCTGAATTATCTATATACGTACGTATAATTGTTTTCCATGTGATTTTTTTGTGGTGGTGACATTTTTTTATCTTGCCTGGGCGGTAAGCCAAAAAGTTTGGGAACCTATGATATATATTAAAAATATAACACATATATGAAACCTATAGAAAACGCGAGCATTCCGAGCGGAAGCTTTTACTTAGCAAACATAATATATTTCTGCAAGTCGAGTACTCAAGAGAGAATAGCTCCAGCAATTTATTAGGTACACAATGGGTACATAGCAATTGCTTTGTCAACTTTCATTTAACGTAATGTAACTCCATCTGTGAGAGTCACGTTTTGAGACGTTCGACGCGTGACCGCAGTTTACCTGCAAAACCCCTTCAGTTTGTTTAAGATCGGAAGTTCGGAATTATGTATAACTCGACAGTATAGGGATCACTGAAACAAAAATCATTAAAATTCCACCAAATCTTCAATAACAAGGTATATTTTAGGTAGTTACACAACTGCCTAACAAATATTTGGTTTGGCATATCTATACTAGACATTTTAACGTACTTGTTGTTTAACTGTAGATAAAGTAACCACGAAGTGGAGAATTTAATAAATACTAATTTATTAGTTTCCGTATTGATTATGTATAAAACTTTGTCTTATCATAATCACAGTAGAGTGCTCGCGTAGCTTCTTGTATCCAGTTGTGAAAATAGGTAACATTTGTGTAATAGAGGACTGATGGATTGTCTTCCATCCTGAAGGAGACCACTCCAATTTGTGCGAAGGATATAGTCACTAGAGCACTGCCAGAGTCGCCCCTGTATATTAAATATTTCAGTAAATTTAAAGAGGTATTTTACATGAACTTTTATATCGATCTGTATACTATCATATCAAACCAAAACACTGCAATTCCTGTACAGTGTTTTGAAATTTCATTACAAGAATATATCGGCTGTTACTAGGGCAAAACAAAGCAATAAGATTTTCGATAGAAATAGCTTATTTACTTATGCGTAATTGTAACGCCAAGAATGTGTAAAGTGATTTAAATAACATTTGATAAAAAATTTTTGTAGCTTTTTCTCAAAATGCTGCTGTTAATTTTACAGTGATATTTGGTTTGACAGGGCAGTAGTAAGAAGTTAAAACATTTTTTGTCTGAGTTTCAACAACGGGTCACGTGGCATTTAATAATATTCAAGCTTCGGAGCTATTCGGTCTTTCAATTTAGTTTATTTTAATTACGAAATTTCATCGATTACCAGTTCGCTATTGCAATTAGAAGTTAATTTAGAAGATTGACTAAGTTCGAGCAGTGACTTCTATATTTGAATTCTTGATCATCGATGCTCTAATATACCTGACCCCCATTTATACCCTCTATTTGGTTCTGAGTAAATCAGTGTAAAGAAAGGTGTTAATCAAAGTTAGCCTTTAATCTATGAGCGGTAAAATTCATTATGGTACGAGTGCCTTATTGCACCATTAGTGCAGGACGTTTTAAGAAACTTTTTAGGCCAATTTGAACCTTAATTACATTACATAAATACAAATTTCAACCAGAAAACCGGAATTCGTTTACACTTTTCTCTTAAATGCGTGAGAAGGTTCCGAGAGCTTTCTCACGCATCCAAAGGGTTCGGCTAGGGCATACTTTCCCAGTGCGTGCTACATAAATAGGTGTTTTCAATTATTTTTTGGAAAAAAGAAATTTGGGAACCTATGGGGGTCAGCTGTACATATCAGAACATCGTAACCATATACACTAAATCAACAAAAGTTACTTTGTCAATGTATAGCAAGGTTAATGTTTCAATGAAGTTTTACAGGAGTAATTCTCAATAATAATTTATATTGACCTGTTTCTGTGAAACCAACATTACATCGAAAATTGGATTTAGGACTGTTGGTTCCACTGCTTGGTTCCACTAGTGGGTCCAGTAGGATTTTCAAATACTCGTGGTTCCACTGCTTAACACAAGTGGAACCATCAGGATATGCGAATACTGTTGTCCCCACTTCAGTTGTAAAGATACTGGCCGCACTGACACATGAAATATAGATCGCCGTCATAATTATCAAATGCATTGATGTCATTGTCATTTAAATAGTTATACGAGGAAAATTGTACCTAATAATTTATTAAGTAATATTGTTTGCGGAAATGGAGGGCAATTTATGTTTCTTGAAGAGAAAAGGTGGGGTCGTGTTAATTTATAACGGGTACCAATTTTATAAACATAAAGTTTATAAAAACACGAAAACAAGGTGGACTTGCAGCCGCAAAAAGAAGGAAAAATGTACTGGTTCAATAACTGTACATGTAAGCACAAAAGCGTCTTTATAAGTTCTTGGAAGGATTTTGATTCAGGCTGCAGCAAAGCAAATGACACTTAAAACAATTTCGTTCGATTAGGCGTTCCAAGAAACGTAGACCGGAAAATTTACCTTTAAGGTAGAACTCGTACAGAAAGTTTAAACCGAGAAGTACTGCTACCATGTTTTGAAGGTCTCTCATTTTGTATTTCTTTTTAGGACGGCAAAATTGAAAAGTTTAGTGCGCATACGGTTACCTGTATGCCTGATGAAGCAAAAAATTCTGTAGATTTGGCCATCGATGAAATCAAAGCAAACGCTGGCACTTCAACTGATCCAGTACCAACCATTTTTCAGAACGTTATGGCACTGGACAAAGTACTAAAATATCGTATAACAGTGTCAAGACATCGATCTACGCTAAAAGGAAGCGAGATTTTAAAGTACAATAATGTTGAAGAGGTGGAAATACCAGCAACATTTAATGAGCTTTTGATGGCGGATTATAACTGCGATGGCATTAGAGTAATAGTATTTTGCTCTAAAAATTTCAAACCATTATTATATGAAATTGATGAATACTACGGGGACGGTACTTTCCAAAGCGCGCCTGTACCTTTTTATCAATTATATACTATACATGGCAACTTTGGAAGTACTCCAGAAATTACTAACATAGTACCTCTAATATATTGCCTAATGAGTAACAAAACAGAAGAGTCTTATGTCGTGTTATTTAAAATGATAAAAGCACAATGCCCACATTGGGAGCCAAAAATTTTCCATTCCGACTTTGAGACAGCGATGACAAATGCTTTAAAAAAAGAGTTCCCAAGAGTCACTATTAAGGGCTGCTATTACCATTATCAAAACGCCTTGTGGTGGAAAGCTAAATTCTTAGGATTAAAAACAAAAATGAATCTTCGTATAGTGGGATTGTGTAAATCACTTCCATTACTACCTGTAGAGTACATAAATGAGGGATGGAACTATATTCAATCAGAGTGCCACGAGATGCAAGAGGTGAAACCTTTTGTGACTTATATGAATAAGTATTGGCTAAAAAATTATGAATTTATTAAAGAATTGTGTATACAACCAACTTCATCGAACTAATAATTTTGCCGAGGGATGGCACGCCCGATTAAATCGTGTTATTAATAAAAATTACGTAACCATCGCGAAATTGCTCTCCGTTTTGGTAAGAGATATTTCCATTAACAAAATGGCAATATCTAATGCCAAAACTGGACACTCGCAAAATAAGCGACAGAGGTTGTTAAAATAAAGAGATACATTTATAATAAATACCCAAATGTCATTGATTCACAAGGAAATATCAGTCGGTCATTTCTTAGAAAAACTTCGATGAACTATGTGAATCAATTTCATTTATCAGTGGTTAATAAAAGAAAAAAAAAAATTAAAAAATGTCAGTGGGGCCACGAGGCCAAAAATTTACTTGTTAAAGCTAAGACCGTTGGTTCCACCATCTAAGTGGAACCACGAGTATTTGAAAATCCTACTGGACCCACTTGTGGAACCAAACAGTGGGTCCAACAGTCCTAAAGGGAAAATTGAACTTTAAAATTTGAAAATCTGTAAACGATTACCTATATTAGCCTGATTAAAAGTCGCCCTGTATAAATAAAAATTGTTCCGTTGTAATCTATTATGTAATTAGTTATAAATTATTTAAAAAATAAAATCATTGTCTACTTTGCTTTCTTTTATTTTTCTTATTAGATTGACCTTAATTTCTCCGAAGGAAAGGTGCAGTAATAAGGGCTTACAAGTTACATTTTTCATATTTAGTATGTATTGATTAACATCAATGTTAGTTGTCAATCGAAGTATGATATATCACATGCGTACATGGCGGGGGTCAATCCATTCTTAAATTAAAATTTGTCATGTCTATAATGGCCATAGGAATATCAACTAATTAGTGTAAGGTTGCATGGAACTTAACATACGATGTAAAACAAAAAGATGCGACAATATACTAGTTGATGATCTTATTCATGATAATAAAAAAATAATAATTTGCAAAAATATACTTAACATTTGAGGAAGAAGCACAGTCAATCGGATATTACTGTAATTCTCAGAAGGAATTAATTTTTTATGCTAACGTTGTTTATTATTATGAGTACGATAACCAGCACTATGTAAAATGTCGCACCATTTTGTTGCACTTTGTTGATCCACTTACTCTGAAGGTCTACCCAATTTTGTAGGAGTTGCCGCGCAAAATAATCCTGGGTTCATGTCAACGTATTGCTCACATTCGTCCCCGGTTTTCAACACTTGCATTGTCATTTTTAAGGTTACTGCTGCCTCTTTTGTTTCGTCCTGCGGAGTTAACGTTTGTAAGTAAAGGTCCATATTCACTAACACTTGAGATGCGTAAATTTCACAATGACATGGTGTAGCAAATTAAGAAGGTCAGCAGTGTGTTCTTTTGTAGAGCTTACTATACAAGCAAGAGCACCCTATGTCTTTTCAAGTGTTGAACATAGAAATGTAATTCATTATCTATGAGTTTAAACATTCGAACTATGTGGGCAGCCAATTGAGTTGATATCTTTTGGTACAAAGTTTTTGCACCACGGAAGATAGTCACAACCAACTTAGGGCGTCTAATTTGAACGCACCCTTGGTCCATGATCATAAACGCTTGTTGCGTGGGGGAAAACGTTGACTACCATGTATTTTTATAAGTCAGTTATCGTAGTTTATTCTTTTACACCCTGTATACATATTTTTTCAGTTGTCAACAAATAATTAAAGTATAAAGTTGCATACTTCTATATTGGTCGAACTGTATATGAGTTAGGTACTTACATCTATGACGCCCCATCCTGCCATCTGAGCGATAACTACATGCGGAAACGTGTCAAGGACCATAATTCGTTTGATATGAAATTTGCCTCCCAGAGGAAAACTCTCTGTAACTTTAGCCAACGCTATATCATTTTGCATGTCGACGTCGTCATATTTTCCATGGACCTTGAAGTCGTTAATTTCTCTTATTATTGTCACCTGAAAATCGATATGGTTTTATGAGAATCCCATGGTACAGGGTCAAGTACACGTCAAGTTTCACAATTGAGATATAAATTCAACTTTACGTTGCTTGCGATAAGAACGGTCCAAAGTTCAAAGTGTCAAGCTTGATCGTCAACCTGCCCGGTTACCTAAGTCTGTATGTTTACAAAATCCCTTCTACGACCAAACACCGTTGCAACTTCTATGTGCTGAGGGTTTTAGTTCTTTTTAGGTAGATGCCTGTCGTTACTCACTAACATAGAGTACTGGTATGGTTCTGTAGGCGAAGTTATTCAATAGGAATTATTTAGTGCTAGCGACAGAATCTTCTACTTGTCGTATACGTATTTGTTTTGCACCCAGTATAAATTGATTTAAGTTTGAGTAACCTTTACCTTGTACAAAGATTCGTGACCCGCGAAAGCGTTGATGTTGCATTTTGTATCAACACAAGTGTATAAACAGTGGGCAGCTGTCAATATGATATCTTGGTTTAAAATCGCTGAACCACAAATCCATTTTCGATTAGTAGATAGCTCTAGGTACACAGCATGGGGAAAGTTGTCAATACGAGCATTTTCGGCTCCAACGATGAACGCCTCCATTTTGTTGCAGCGCTTGAATTTCATCAGCAACATGATTAACGTACAAGACTGTAGAATTTTCATAATAGCACTCTATTGAAAATAAATCACAACACATTATGAAATTCTGAAGCATAGCTAGTCATACCAATCAAAAATAATGATTAGATGTTGTTTCGTGCTTTTAATGTTGCACTTAAAGTTTTTATTGGCGTTTTATGCTTTCGGTTGCCGACTTTGTGACTAGTTAGTTTCTTGGATATGCCGTGAATATTGGTAATTCGTGCGTCCTTTTTAATCTGATTAATTTGTTTTTTATTTTCTTATGTTTAGATTGACTATTTTTACTTAGTATTTTGCAAATTTACGTCTTGCAAGAATATTTAATAATATTTCTTCCAAGACGTAAATTTGCAAAATACTAAGTAACTGGTCACACTGCATTCTCTTGAAAAGTGTGCCGTCGTAAAGTTATCTGTTTATCGGTATTCTACAGAAAAAATATATCACTGAGACTGTGCGAGGCCATCAGTGGGTAACTAGACGTAGGCTGGGGTTCCACTCCTATATGGTGGCTATTCCAAGGATTCGCAGAAGGCGTTTCGTTTCCACATTTATACGGCGAACGGCTATGGAGTGGAATTATGGAATGGAATGAAATTGTAACTACCTCTGTGGCCCAATGGTTACCATTCTGGTCTACCACGCAGAGGTCCCGGGTTCAATTCCCGGGACGGGAAAAATATTTATATGGCTTAAATTTATTTCTCGCGTGAGTTTCGGTGTAATTTATGGTTGTTTATGTGTGTGTCCATGGTACTCGCGATACAGGGTTTCCCTATTGCGGGGCTATAAAAAAATTTCTACCTACAGACTTGTTCCCTTAAACGGTGTAACTTAGACCTTTCAAGGCGAGAGTGAACAGGTATTATTTAGGTGTGCATGCTTCATCGTCGACCACATCGTCACTTTTCATCACGTGAGATGGAATGCGCACTTGATGTTTTATTAATAAATTAAAAAGAAAATAATTTATGTCGCTTTTATGATAGATACTATAAGTGCACAAAAAGTGAATTGAAAAGATTCCGCTGTAGGCTTTAATCTTGCAACGTAGTTTCATGATACTTTAAAAGTGTAGACTCAACTTAAACTGAGTGCCGCGCTGTTCTTCCAGCCAAGCACTTAGCTAAAAGAGGTAACTTGCTTTTCACGCTACACATTACTAACTTCCGACAGTGTAATGCTTTTAGCGTCCTGAAATCTGCGCTAGCGACTCGTGCCTTTTAAGTTTCAAGGGGCAAGGTCAAGCTGTCTCCAAGTTGTTATTCAAAAACAATAATCGTTTAACGTCCCTTTCATAATCTGTGAGGGCTCAAATCAAACCTCAAAGATTTTAGGTGGAGTGACGCATGCGCGAGGTCGCGGTCGATATGTGGTGACGTCAGCAATCGTCGTGCTTCAGTCAGCCGCTGCCGGCCATAGCGCGAACATGTGGCTGCGATGCTTGGCTGCCATCGTGCTGATCGCGGCAACAGCTTCTAAGGAAGTCTTCACCAACTCGTTCCTGGTTCGCTTCAAGCGGTCGGTGCAGCACGAGGAGGCGCATCGTGTTGCCAGAGTCCACGGCTTCGAGAGCCTCGGTCCGGTAAGTTACACGTGTTAATAAGTAAACATACCCATAGGCTCTTACTTTTAACGGTCGTCCAACTCGATTCGCTTGATTTATATTGGACTACGGAAAATCGGGGCAATTAAGACGGTGGCTGCCGCCGGGAAATTGAAATTGGACGTCATTAGTTGGTTGCATTAACTTAAGTAGAGAAAACAACTTTTTGCCATGCATTCCAGCGTAATTCCTACCATCTAAGTACTTAGGTACTTTGTGTGACGCATGGAGTTGGAAGGCTTCAGGAGACTAATAATAAAATGTAGAATTTTGTAAGTATCGCATACGTTAGATGTCAGCTATTTCTGTACGCGGTTTGGTATTGTTTTCATTTTTGTCGCACAAAAAAAAACAATTGAAATATTTTTGCAAAATACACATTTTAATAATTTAAAACGTATTTGAATTGTATTTGGGGCAGATTTTTTTTTAGAAAGTTTTAGTTTTATATTCACTTCTGGCGGAAATACTTTGCTATATTTATAATTACTTAAAATACATGAAATGAGTTATTATTTATTTACTGCATAATTTCCATTTAAAAGGGAAATAAACACTATAAAATATCACAATTAGCCGACGGCTTGATCATTAAAACGAACTACTACGCGGTATCTAATAAAATCGAGAGGTAATTACATAGTTACCGTTACTTATTACGGCATGTTATAAGTCTACTTATGTTTATTGCTATAATAATAATAATATAATAACAAACACAAGTAAAGTATCTATTATACAAAAAAAATTGGTATATAATATGATTGGCAGGTCTATCTATATCTACGTACTGCTATGTAATGTAGGCAAATGCTATATAACGCGAAGCTGGATATTACAGTTCCAGTACTTACAGCAACATTGCCTTCTTTGTGCAGTTTATTAGTAAATAATAATAACGCACGCAATCATAGCCAAGCACCAGGGAAACCCTGTATCGCGGGTGCCATGGACACACACACAGACAACCACAAATTACAGCCAAACTCACGAGAGAAATAAATGTAGGTCATACAAATATTTCTCCCGGCCCGGGAATCGAACCCGGGACTTCTGCGTAGCAGTCCAGCATGGTGACCGTTCAGCTACGAAGGCAGTTACGCAATATGAATACTATTTTTTTATAACCCCGTTTTGTCCTTTTCCTGGTCAAAATCCTGAAGCCTCTTTTTCCATTTCTCTCGGTTTTGGTCGATATTTGGCCAGTCCTTTGAAAAGGAGACCAAGTCATCCCGCCATCGCCGACTTGATCTTCCGCGTCTTTTTTTTGAGTTGTGGGGCTTCCATTCCGTGGTTATTTTGACCCACAAGTCGCTCGACATGCCAATTATTAATTAGTGTTATGGACTTAGTCAGATTATAGACTATTAGATTGTATCTTCCTAGTTCAAATTTAAAGATACTTGCCGTCAGGAGGTCAGTCAAAAAAGGTTAAAACACTTCGATATACGCGAAGTCCTCAACAAACACTGAGTCGGGGTGTTGGAGTATACCCTTAGAAGCCACTCGTGTCTAGCCGTAGTATTGGTTAATACAGCGATCTCATTGGCCCAACGGTTTGCACTACGAGCGTAAGATGAGGTTTCGAGTTCAATAGTTAAGTCCAAGAATTGGGAAAGTATTATTTTTTATTTATTTATTTCTATAAGGCACACACTCATAGCCCCGCTCTAGGGAAACCCTGTTGTCCACCTTTTATCTCTGTATCTGGCTGTGACCTGCCCACTTTCAGTTAGTCTTTAGAGGGAGTGTTAAAGCATCAATTACTTTTGTTTTGTGGCGGATGTCAACATTCCTTACTCTGTCCTTCAGCTTTATGCCTAAGCGGCTTCTTTCCGTTTTTCTTTGCGTGTTTTGGATTTTGTTCCGTGACACACACATAGACAACCATAAATGATAAACGTAGGCCATACAAATATTTCTCCCGGCCCGGAAATTGAACCAAGCGTGGCACTGGCTTGGAAGCTGTTCGGCCACGGAGGCAGTTATTTGTGGTCTGGGTTTTCTGGGTTGATCCCCGGAGAGAATTCTGTTGCTCTGATACTCACAGTACCTACAGAGTATAACTTACAGTATTTTGTATGCAACCTAGATACGGGATCTTAGGGCCATAGCAATTATTTTAAGATCAGACTGTCAAGGGAGCGCGGCTCTTTGTTGTGTACGGTTGCTAATAACTATAATAGAAGGTATATGACCTCGGGTCAATTTGTGATTCCAAAAGTCACTAACTACTATGGAGATAGCACCTTAAAGAAACATATTCCGTATCTAACCATTTTCTGCGGTTATCGATGTGCTGGGACATCCAGGGCGCTCATCTTCTTCAGTGCCCTAACCACCTCTTTACAACATTTCTACCACTTGTTAATTAATACTTGTATTATTAATTGAACATTCGCCAAAAGCAATATTTAACATTTCCATTGATGAAGCACTGAAGATGAAGATGAATGAAGCAGATGAAGCACTTGATTCCAATCCTTACGCTGAATTTTAAGCGGATGTTTTATGCCATTTTCTTGTTACAAATAATAAATCGTTGGTATAGTAAGCTTACAGTATCCCATCATCTGGCAAGTGTACGTTAGGGTCATGTGCACCAATCAAAGAAAAAAAGTGACAATTGTAGTTATACAGCCCGGGAAATTAACAAATTTCGCATATTACTTTATCATACCTCGTATCACAAAAGTGTCATTGTATAAATCTATAGTAGAGTACGCAAATCTATAATATCGTACCCATTTATGTAATGTGTTTAAAAGCCTTATGTTGTACATTTTTTTCTCTGTGCGTAATGTTTATAGATATCAGTTGATACAATGATATTAATATTGGTGTAGTCAAATGCCATTCCATGAATATAAATTTAGACAAGTTACTACGCACTCAGATCGACAGAGAACCCTAGCCTAACAGTAACGAATTGATTGTATTTTTACGGTTTACAGTAAAATAAAGTTATTTTTCCAAATTCTAGTTGCAAATAGCTTCCTAAAAGGACTAAAACAATGTAACGGGAATATGCGCTCTCATCTCGTAAAAAAGTCCATGACTTCACGACGGAGAATCGAGGAAACTTTATAGTTGAGTCAACTTGAGTCTGAATATAACCTATAGAGAAAAATAAACATTACAAACAAATAGAAAGTTCCATGATTTTCAGCCGCAGGAGCAGGCTGGATTTCGAAAAGGCTCCAGTACTATAGACCAGATACATACTTGAAATAAATTATTCAGAAGACCGAAGAATATAAACGACTCTTGTGCCTAGCGTATGTGGATTACGAAAAAGAATTCGACACCATCGAAATCTGGGCTGTTCTGGACTTCTTGCGGAAATATCAGATTGACTGCCGTTATGTTGAGGTATTGAGAAGTATTTACGCTGTAGCCACGATGATCGTACAAGTTCAAGGACAGAGCACAAGACCAATTCAACTGCGTTGTGGAGTGAGACAGGGAGACGTCATCTCTCCGAAACTGTTTACTAACGCGTTGGAGGATGTCTTCAAGATGCTTGAGTGGGAGGACGAGGCATCGACATCAACGGGCAGTACATCTCACACCTTCGATTTGCAGATGATTTGTTATTATGGCGGAATCTCAGCAGGAGCTCGGCGAGATGCTGAACAGCTTAAACGATTCTTCACAGCGAGTAGGTATCAGGATGAACCTGGACAAAACGAAAGTTATGTTCAACGCACATGTGACCTCGGGTCCTGTAACCGTAGGTGGGGTTACTCTTGAGGTTGTGCACAATTACGTCTACCTTGGCCAAAATATCCAGCTTGGCAAGCACAACTTCGAGAAGGAAGCCGACAAGAAAATTCGTTTGGGCTGAGCGGCATTTGGGAAGCTTAGCCACATCTTCAGATCGTCAATCCCACAAGGCCTAAAAACTAAGGCATTTAACCAGTGCGTTGTACCAGTTACATCCTACGCAGCCGAGACGTGGACACACAACACAGCAGGCCCCGTCCTCAAATTCAGCGTGCGATGGAGCGAGGGATGCTTGGGGTTTCTCTGATGGATCGAATCCCTAACGAGGTCATACGTAAGAGAACCAAAGTGACCAACATAGCTCGCAAAATCAGTATTATGATGATGATAAAAAATAAACGAAAATGATACCTACGTGTCCATTTAAATCACGATGGCGTAATCTTTAGCTGATTTCAGAAAAGGAGGATCTTCTAATTGGACTGTTTTTTTGCATGTATGTTAGGCTATAACTCCGGCGATTTGTGAGCCGAGTTCGATGATTATTTTTTTGTTGGAAGGAGGGTACCTTAGTAGTGGTCCTATTTGAATTTAAAGAAAATTTTCCACCTCTAAGGGTGGCAAACTAGGGGATGAATTCGGTTTCGCGCACTTTCCGGTAACCGTTTACAATAAAACTTTGCAAATAAATGTAATTGCACGAACTTTTCAGGTTTTTTTTTTATAAAAAAGTTATTAATGTATAAATTCATAATGATGCATTGATGCATCATTTTGAAATTGACGAGGTATCGCTTAGTGATGGGCCAATGCAAAAAGACGCCGTAGTAAATGTGCGCATATTCAAAGAGGCAGAGAGACGTTACATACACTCATTGAAAAATACTAATTGCAAAAATACGAAGTCTAACGAATATGAAATTATTATTTAAAAATTTACCTAGTCTTACTAATCTATAGTATAATGTACGATTTCGCTAGATTGATTCCTTGCTTACTACTAATTGCTACACCGTCAGTTATTTAATTAAAAAGCTACTTATAGTGTGTTCCTTGCTATTAAAATAAGCTATGACGTATGTTTTTCATCATTACTATATAGATCAAGGAATAAACTAGGAGACTGCAGAGCGGCTGTTAATTGCTAAGAAATATATGATAAATCTTTCTTTCTTTTACAGGTCGAAATACCAAGGTCTTTGCTCCATGAAATTAGTTGCAAAAAAATTTTTTTTTAAATTAAATGGCCTTGT